TAGGAACAAAAGCCCTGTGGTGGCACAAGCCCAGCACATTTGAAGAACAGCAAGGAAGCTGCTCTGCTGATTGAAAGGGTGACAAAGAAGTGGGACAGGAAGTCGGAGGGACTGCCATGCCAAGGACAGAGGCAGCCTGGAGGCCACTGTCAGGACTCTGAGATGGGAAGCCAGTGGGAGTTTTCAGCAAAGCTTGGACAAGTCTGGCTAGCACATTTCTGGTTTGGATCTAAAATGTTTCCCCAAAGGCTCATGCATTCACAGGTGGGGTTTGGGGAAGGTGACTGGATCACTGGAACATTAATCCATTGATGAGTTCATGGCTCAATGTGCTGTTAGGAAATAGGGCTTTGTTGGAGGAGATGGGTCCCTAGGGCATGTCTTAGAGGTACATCTTTTCTCAGGCCTTTTCTCCCCCTTCTACTTCCTGGATGCCGTGAACCAAGCAGCTTTCCTCCTCCATGCCCTTCATCTTGATGTTTCTGCTTTGGAGCCAGCCAACCATGGACCCTCTGAAACCATAAACTGAAATAAAATAAACCTTTTCTTCTTTAAGTTGTATACATCAGCTACTTTGTCCCAGCCACAGAAAGCTGACCAATACACACACTAAGACAGAACATCCCAGTGTGGAACGGTTGGGGAAGAGGGATAGGTTTTCTACATGAGAGTGGTTTGTGCAGGGTGGTAGCTTTAGAGATGGTGAGAACTGGTTTGCTGTGTATCATGAAGTTGGTAACCACTTGATTTGCCAATGGGTGGGTGTGTTGGGTGTAGGAGAAAAGTGTGAATCAAGAATGATTTCAGGTTTTTGGCTCAGGCAACTGGAAAAATGGAGTTGTCATTTGCTAAGAGGACAGAGACACCAGGAGAAGGAGATTTCGTGGAAAATTCTAACTTATTTTGGATCTGTTAAGCAAGTGATGCTTATTACACAGCCAAGCTGAACCACTGAAGACAGCTGGATATACCAGCCTGGAGCTCTGGCAGAGAGGGGTCTACAGTGGAGACAGAAATTCAGGAATTATCCACATAGGGGAATTTAAGTGTTGTTGAAAACATGATCTAATTCAATTGCAATATAATCTATTTCTTTTTGTAAAAAGAAGTAGGGCATTTCTACTGAGTCTTTCGAACTGTATTAACTTGAAATGTATTTCAATGCCTGTTTTATTACAGATGTATAATGGGAAGAGGAGAAGGAATGTCCTTTATCATCTCCAAATGCACAGCCTGATATTCCACAAGCAAAGTCAGATGAGAAATAAACTTGATATAAACTGTTTTTCATCTAAAACATCTATTAATATCATATTGCCCTTCTGCTATCTAAAGAAGAACGTTTCAAAAATTCTGAAAAAATATATTTGTCCAAAAACCCAAATAAAATTTCAAGAGGCCTCTATAAACATGTATCAAGTCTCTCTTCCTGCAACAACAGAGGGACAAATATGCTACCATGATCAGTACTGAAATGGCAATTAAAGAAGTAATAGAATTAGTGTGCTGAGCATCCTTTATTATACCTGAGCTTCAAGATGATGTTTCCTAGGAAACCAACACCCCCAGGCACAAATACTGTGAAATACAGTTCCCTGAACTGCTGTGTTCTAAATCCTACCTAAGTATTTAGTATAAGCTCTTCAAAAACAAAAGCAAATGCAAACAAGTAAACATAAAACAAAAGAAAACTACTTTCCACTGACCCAGACCAGAAAAAAAAACATACAGTTCTCGAGAACAAAAACTATGAAACACTGCCAAACAAAATACAATAACAAAAATAATTACACAGCTGAAAAAATCCTCAAACCAAACCAAAGACTAACAGTGGGATTGCATCTTGACACATCAAGGGTTTTCAGTCACTTCTTGGTTTCTTTGCCCTCCGTCTTTCTTCCTTCTTTATCATTCATTTTAAAAATCTCACTAATTTACATAATTAAGAGAAGGGATGAAGGTATGAGAGAGGTTAATGTGAAGTTCCAAAACATCTGACATAAAACATTTTAAAGATATATGACATTAAAATACTCGATATGTAAAACTGTCAAAGTTTTACCAAATAGAATTCCTGTGACAGACAACTAGAACTAACAGAAATCAAACATGACATGATTGCTTAGATTAAAAATGCCCATGCAAAAAACAACTACCTGAACTAACAAGTGGATTTAACCTTAAAAAATTGACTGTATTTTCACATACTAGAAGCAAGCAACTAGAAGAATGACATAAAATGTTTACAATAGAATCATCAAAATGAAATATTTCAGGTTAAACTGAACAGAGTCACAGAAGCCTTACATGCCGAAAACTATAAAATGTGACTGAGAGTAATAAAATATCTAAATAAATGGAGACCCATCATGTTTACAAATTGAGAGGCTCAACTTCTTAAAGCTGTCAGCTGTTCTCATGTAGACAGACAGATTAGATATAATCCCATACAAAATTCCCCAAGCATTTCTACGAGTCAATCCCCTCCATCCCGCCCACACAGATACACTACCACCTTCAGTACTAGGGATTGAACTTAGTGCCTTGCATGTGCTAGGCAAGCACTCTACCACTGAGCTGAATCTCCAGCCTTTTTAAAAATTTTATTTTGAGACAGTGTCTCATTAATTTGTCCAGGCTGGCTCTAACTTATGGTCCTCCTGCCTTAGCCTCTATGTAGCTGGGATGACAGGTGTGTACCACCATATCCAATGTATAATTCTAAGATTTATATGAAAGTGCAGGTAATCTCGACTATCAAAGCTATTTTAGGAAAGGATAACAAGGCTAGAGAACTTATACTACCTGATTTCAAGACTTACTATTAAAGCTATAGTAAGCAAAATAGTGTGGCATTGACAAAGGACAGAGTAACAGGCCAGAATGATGAGCCCAGAAAGCAACCCCACTGTGTTCAACTAACTTTTGACAAAAGTGCCAAGGCAACCAATTGGGGAAAAAAAGTCTTCAAAATAAATGGCCTGAAAGTTGGATATCCCTATGGAAAAAATAAATATCATCCTTACCTTACACCACACATAAAAATTAACTAGAAATTGATCTTGACCTATGCTTATATGGAAAAGCTAAAACTATAAAATTTCTAGATGAAAAAAGTTTTGGAAATAAGTCAGACGAAAAGAGCTTACCTAGGACACATAATGAACAAACCAGTTTAAAAAATTAAAATTTATCCCCGTAGTAGTAAGATTTTGGATAACTCCAAAAGAGGGAGCTGTTCTTCACAGGAAAAGTACAGCCAGGGCAGGGACAGCTGAGCCAACTTCAGGGTTCCCAAGGTTTGGCCTAAGGCTGGGTCTTCCCGGACACAGGGATCCCCCTGTGCCAGCCATCTTTACCCTCACTCCTGCTGGTGAGTATGCAGCAAGTCCCTGAGAAAGGCGGCACCCAAGTCCACTTGGACTTTATCTCATAAGAGTCAAGGCCGTCTCCGGAGACATCTGATGAAACGAATCACAGAAACCAGCATGCACCCAGACTTACTCCTTACGCTGGTTTCCTGCATGTCTTTTACATGCACGATTCACTGCAGTCCTCTAATTAAAGACCAGCCCCACTGCTCCCTTTATGGAAACTGGGACTCAGAGTCCAGTCTCATTTGCCCCAACTCAACAGCTAGTAAAAGGGAGAGCTGAGATTTCCATATTAGAGGTACTTTAACTGATATTCAGGTTATCTCCATACACAAAGCTAAAGATTATTTATATGTGTGTGTATCTGGATGGATAGAGACAGAGAAAGAAGGAGAAAGAGGGTGAAAGCGAGCAAGCTTTGGATTCGGTGTTGTTCACTTTTACATTACCCAAAAGGCATACAGTCAAATGCACAGCTGATATTTGGTAGGATCTTTGCTTGTCACCAAAATACATTCTTGTCATAACCTACTAAAATATTTTAAAGATAATGACAGACTAAATAAGTGCACTAGTGAATACTTATTTGCATTTAAACATGATCCCAAGTTAATGTGTTGTTTAAACATTCATAAGGAAGAGAAGAATACGTGGAAAATGAATTGTCAGCCTAACCATCAATTCTTCTGCATCCCTTTGGCAATTCGAAGTCTGAACAACATTAACAGACATTGAAATTATGTATATATTTTGAACAACAAAAATCCTCTTCAGTCATATAGCTCAGAAATGTGTGTTCGAGTTTACTTAACTCAGGTCACAGTTAAAGCGTATTGTTCTACAGCCGTTTCCACCTCTCAATTCCAGGAAATGTCCTGGGATGTTCCAGGGATCATCACATCTATACCAGCGGGGAGGCCTACTTTATCTTACAATTTTTATTTTATTTTATTTTTTGGTACTGAAGATTGAACTCAGGACCTTGTGCTTGCCAGGCAGGCGGCAGAACCACTGAGCTAAATCCCCGGCCCTCATCTTAAAATTTTTAAAACTACACCTTCAAGCAGTCTCGTATCTGAATATTTGGCTTCTGATTTCCTCCCTGGCCTGGTAACCTTCAATGTGACTGGACTCCAGAGCTAATCTAAGAAGCTGGGTCATGTATGACTCCAATGACACTGCAACCATGCCTGGCACACTCCCCCGTCCAGTCCCACGTGCATTTATCTGCCAGAGCAAGAGAGGGGAAGGGGTGGAACACACAGCTGCCATCTGCTCCCTCCCCCAGCATCCTGGAAATGCCAAGGGTGGGAGTTTGTCCTAGAGACAGGAGCAAAGTGTACTTCACAGTGGGCCCGCTGGGGTGTCTTTGGCAGCAACATTTGGACCTGGCACACTAGGAAGTGACAGAGACACCCTGCACGATGGGATCCAACCCAGCAGCCGCAGGAATCAACTCACTGCTGGGGCCTGATCTCATGGTCTCTAGATGGATCCACCTCCTCCGATGCCCACGGACCCCCCACTCCCTACCACCTTGTCTGGCTCACAACCATGACGTTCATTGACGTAGGCATTGGGATTTACAACCCCGTTTGACACTCATCAATTAAATGAGGTACTTACAGCTGCATGACCAGGTACAAGTGATTCGGGCTTTCATAAATGTCTTCCAGGGCAACGATATTTTCATGCTTAATCCTGAAAGAAAAAAGAAAGCACACACACAGTGGTTAAGTACAATTAAACATGAAAACTCTCATTACGGCAAGGAGTTATGACAGACTCTAAACTCCTTAATGAGACATTTGAGACTCTTTACAATGTTGCCCCGAAACTTTTCCAGTCTCATTTCTTAGTATTCTTCCCTTGATCTCTGTTCTTCTTCATTCCCAAGGTTCTACAGCCTACAATTTAGCAGCAGCCAATTAGCTATTGTTGTTTTATGTGTCTCATAGTCCAAATCTCCCTACATCCTATTATCTTGCAGGATCCACCCCAAATGGCTAAGCCCCTGGCAGAATTGCCCAGCTCCCTCTTCCTGCTGCTGCCCAGTGGCCACCCCAGACTGGCACCCCAGACTGGTCTGCACTGCCGGCTGTGAGAACATCCACCCCCCGCGACAGGCCACTCGGTGTAGGGAACAGGTTCATGTCCTGTTCATGGACCGCTTAAGGTGAAGGAAACCATTTGACCCCCTTGTTGGGATTCTTCTCTACCCCGCCACCAAAAGTCAATTCAGTTTCCCAAGTAAACTAGACCCACACCACTCGAAGTGGCAGGCAGCTCCTGCATCTCCTGGGAGCCTGGCAAGGGCCCCACCTGGGTAATGCAGAGTCAGAATCTCTGCGGCCAGAGCCCAGCAGACTGTTCTACTATGACCCTCACAAGATCTGCACATACAAAGCAAAGTGGCTGAAACACTGTTAGACCAGTGCTTCTGCAACTTCTCCAGTGCAGATTCTGATTCAGTGGGTGAGGGGTGAAAAGCATTAGTAATAATAATAAACACAAGTGGCCTGAGCATCTGCATTGCTTACCAGCTCCCAGGGGTACAGATGCTGCTGGGCTGAGGGCCGCCCTCTGAGTGGCAAAGTCCTAACAAAAGCAGCCAGAGAGAAGGAAGGAGCCTATCCTACCCCTAGAACTATCAAGTAAGAGCAGTTTGTGCTCAGAACGCAAGGTGTGCTATTTATTTAATGCATTTGAGAGGAGAATCATTTCATTACTCAATGAGCTAATTAGCTCTTACCACAGGTCCTTCACCGAAATGACTGCTGAACCATTTAAATTAACATGTAGGTTCTTGTGAACCTCTTCAAAGTAGAAACTACAGGCATCATGTTGTTTTCCCTTTGTGCCTAGCACAGATCTGCTTAGTGTTTGCTGAATGAATGAATGAATGAATGAATGATACTTAAAGGTTGTTGCCACTAAACAGCAAAGAGCATCCCATATTTCATTAGAGGAAATGGAGGCAGTATTCCTATGTAGGAAATGTCTTCCTCTCAAAAGGAAGTACACAAGGTGGAACGAACTAGAATATTATCTTGCCTCCAAGTTAAAACAGAGAGTAAGATAATTAACTACAAGCGGCAGCACTTGCTCTGATTTCTACAGCTCTTATTAGTTACTGCAGTTGCTTTGCTGGGCCTGAAATAATTGCACTAACTTCACTCTCGGCCTGATTCCTATGCAGAGCACATACGTGTGTATTTTTACCAGTGGTGACTGGGCAACCTGAGCAAACTGAGACCAGCAATGAGTTGAATCAATGTATCAAATAAACTACGGCACCAAGGAAACGAGAGACCGTAACTGGGGACTGCCAACATCCTGGGCATTCGTGGCAGTATCGGTATTGTGTATAAATGAAAGAATACGACCACAAAAAGTACACATGTGGATTTGTCCATTTTTGCAAATTCTAAAACATTTGATATGAGAATCATTCACGTGGGCACAAATATTTTCATTTAGTCAAACTAATCTGGAAGTTAAGTGGAAGCCTAGATTTATGGGAAAATGACAGGAACGGGATTACACGGAGGCATGGCTAGACAGGATACAAGGCACAGAGTGATGCCTGAATTTTAGGTAAATAACAAAGAGAATTAGTCTAAGTATGTCCCAATCATTGCACTGTTTATCAGACATTCATAATGTAATCAGGCATTCATTCCATAGGTTCACGTGCTGCATCTGGTCACCCTAGTCACAAGGGTCGGTCAGTCAGCCTCTGGAATGGGACTAGAGATCATCGCTTCGCTTCCCTGGGAGGTTGAGCCAAGAAAGCTGTCTGCACCCTAGAGTTGAGTCATTTAACTGACAATACCATTTCAATTTTATGCAAAGAATCAAACTGTATACAAAGCACTTGCCAAGCAGAAATGGCAGAGTCTGAGGAATTATGACCACAAGCCCCATCCCTACATGCACCGGACAGAGAAGGTAAAGCCTACCTGACCTGCACGTCTTACATGAGTGCAACTAGAAGCCACTCCATCCAGCAGAGCATTCCAGGGAAGAACTGCAGATGGCAGGGAAAAGCCCAAATAGAAGTGTTGCAATGGCTCAAAAGATGCTATTTTATTAATTACCCCTCAGAAATGAGGTGCTGATGAGTTAAGCAATCAAGTGTGGTCATCTACTGGGTTTCTGCTGTGTGTCTGGGAGAATACAAGGAGATGTAACATTTTACCCTCGAGAAGCTTATCATTTAGATGGAGAAAACCACAAAGCAATCAGAAAAGAGTTAAGTGCTAAACTCTATGGAATTATCTTTCTTTTCTTTTAACTTTTAGTTTTTTCACAGTACTGGGAATTGAACACAGGGCTTCATGCATGCTAGGCAAGACTTCTACCATGGAGCTACATCCCAGACCTGAAACTGCCTTCAAAATCAAACAGAGCAGGGGCCTGTGTGGGTCAGAATTTTGGGGATAGTCTCAAGAAAATGATAATAGTTGAGCTAGGATGAGTAATGTTTGAATGAGTATATCTGAAAAATTTTAATACTCCTAAAATGGACTCTTCAATGTCCCTTAAGAAAAGTGATTTAATTAACTTGGAGCTGTTCAAAAAAACATTCCAGCCTCCCACATCTGTTTTTAGTTACTTTATTCCACCCTCAGATCCCTTATGATATACAAAAACTAAGCTTAAATTTTTTACATTATTTTAGCACACAGATTATTTTCACAAAAATGCCATATGAATCCATGAATTTCTAGGTCTGGGCCAGGATCTATTCCACATAAATGCTCATCACGACATTCATTCCACAAAAAAGTGCTGCATGCCCAATACACGCCAGGCACATGAATTCATATTCATCCTAAGCTTTTTGAATTCAGTGGCAGACACACATGACAGACAGCCCCTGTCGGCTCACACATGCTACAGCTAGAACCCTTCCCAGGAAGTCTGTCTTGTACTCACCATAAACTGAACCCCTGGGAATTAGTGGTCATTCATGGCAGCAATGAAGAACAAGTTCACATTGTCTTTCTGCAACTACGTGAGGGTCACAACACCTCGTCTTTGTGATCTCTTCCTAATGCTGACTATTGCCTCGCAATAGGGCTGCTATTTCTCTTGTCACTCTACTGCTACTCATTTCTCCAGACTTTGGTACTCAGAACTGAAAGTAACGATCCCAATGTAAAACACAGGCTCAAGCACAGGGTAGTAAGTGATAGACTAGAACTACCTGGATATTGAGCTTCTGCTAATAAAGCCAAAAACTAGTTTCTTTTTTTAAGCAGCTGCATAATTGTTGGCACCTAAGAATATAACCTCCATGCAGGTAGGGATTTTTGATGGTTTTGATCACTATGTCTCCCTAATGCCAAAAGAGCATGGTAGGTAGCACATTTGATATATGTTTGTTGAATGAATGAATGAATGAATAAAAATACTGAGCTCAGAGTCAATTAAATCACCAGATCATTTTTCACTTGAACTTCTACCAAACAAGATTTCTCTTTTTACTCTTCAACATCCTGACAGATGAAGTCATAGTGTGTCCAAGGGAACCAGAGAAGTGAAATTCAGAAGTCAAAGGAATAGTTACAAGTTCAAAAACAATAATCAGAGAAGGCATCTCAGCCCATATTTTCTAGTGTTGCCCAAAATGGGGGAATAAAGTGATACAGAAAAGAGGTGGTGATAACGGTTACACTTAATCTTTTGAGCTGTCTTTCTCTTCAGCTTTGTTAAATTTAGTCTTTTGGGGTTCCACACAGTGCTTCAGATGTCAGCAGTATTCTGAATCTTGATTTGCTCATCCGCTGTTTTTTTATCCCTCCCAACATTGGGCCATCTGCATATGTGGTACACATCTATCCCCTATATATCTGTATCAAAAGCCCTCAGTACAATTTTACATGGGATGGTTACACATCAGAGTTTCATGATACCCCACCACAGAACCCCACCAAGAAATGTGACACTAATCAGCTGACTTGGGCTGCCCTCTATTTGGAAACCCGACAGTCCCACTGTCCAGCCATATTTTACCTCCCCGTCCACAAGGACTCAATTAGCTCCTTCGCTGAAATGGCACTCCATAGCCCACACGCCCAGCAGGCCTGTTTAAAAGGGAAATGGGATGTTTCGGAAGATTTCTGAGTAAGTTCATGTTAGCTCCTAGCAACCATTACAGTCTTTACTAAATGATCACTAACCATCTGCTTAATTCTCTATTTCAGAATTTTGCTGTGCACTGAAGTTAAGATTCTCTGTCTATAGCCTCACATTCTACCTTTGTTATGTTTGGAAAATTTGACATCTCCAATATTGTTTTTCGAACATCTCAACTGTGACTCTTTTGGGATAAGCTCAATTTCCTCAGTCCCCTAGGATATAAGAAATCTAAATCTACTGAATAATTTTTATAACTTTCTTTAGACCCTATTTACGTAGCTGCTTTATATACACCATCTGCTGAATGTTAAGTAGGTGTCCAGACTGTAGTAGGTTGTTTTTGTTTTTATCTGGTGCTAGGAATTGAACCCAGGCCTAACATGCTCCACCTCTGAGATTAAGTAACTACTCTAAGATGTTAAGTAAGTACTCCAGGGTTATATAACTCATAACGGGCACTGCTGAGATTCAATCTAAGTCTATTCTGACTCCCAAGCCTATCTTACAGCGATCATACTACAGCTTCATATTAACTAAGTTATAGCGAGAATATC